TATACACACACATAAGTATATTATATATAATTAAAATATCCTTTTGTGTAAAATATACATTGACTTATAATGTGTAATTTTTTTTTTTTTTTATCTCCAACAGTATATCAATGTGTAAAATTATTGTATATTTTACATAATCTTTTTACATAGCTATATCATCATATTTCGTTTCTTTTCCCTCATTCTCATTCCATTAACAAATTAACTTTATATTAATTAGGTTTGTAAAAGTTATGTAAGTCTTGATATAACAGGTGGTGGGTTGTTATTCGCAAAAACATTTTTACACACAATGTACAAAAAAAATTTTAACCACAATGTATAAAATAATGGCTCGAGCTAATGAGTAGTGCAAATTTTTTTTTGTAAATTTAATATCACACATCATATTTACACCAAATATATATATATATATATACAGAAAATTGCTGGAGATGCTCAAAAGGGTTCTCTTTTTCATGCTTTATTTATATTTTACACAGTCATCTTGTAAACAAAATGAGTGTGTAATAAAATGACCAAATTTATTGGTGTTTTCTTATCAACACAATTGACCCATTATATACTCCCTCCGTCTAAAAAAGAGTGTCATATTTAAGTCACAGTTTTTCAAACATGACACTCTTTTTAGGATCGAGAGAGTATTATTTACGGGATCTTAGGAAAAATTATGTTCTAGGGATGAAAAAAAAATTTACTGTCTTCTTAAAAATAATTACTCTCGAGCAACATGGAAGGAATTACTTTTCATTGCTCGACACATCAATAATCAATGCCCAATAATTATTTCTAAATTTCATATGTAAATTAAAAAATAATAATAATTTTTAAAAGGAATAATCAGGCTCAATTGTTTAAACGAAAAATTATTAACAAAGACCTACTTTAAGATATCTAATGATTTTACTTACCTAAAAATAAAAATCTAATGGTACAATTAATTATTGTAAATTAATAAATTTCCATTGATTCTAAGCTTGGTATGAAAAAAGTGCACCCTATAAGGCTATAACCATTATATAGAAATTAGGTTAAATATTAAACTAGGTTCATCATAACCTGTAATTAACCATCCATTTGGAGCCAAAAGTACATGATCAAAATGAGAGCATGAGATAGAAAACTTTACACAAACGCTTAATCTTTATTATAAATAAATAAATAAACCAAACTTGCTAATAATATTCTTTCCTTCTCTTTCTTCCTTACCCTTTTTCTAAATAAAGGAAAAGTTCAAAAAAAAAAAATAGACAAACCAAGTACAAGTTGGATCAGTCCTGAAACCAAAAATGGAAAATAAAGTTAGGGTTTGTTGTATGAGAGCTTTCTAGGTTAAAGCACAAACATTAAGTGACATTCACTTCAACCACACACCTCTCTCCCTCTCTCTCTCTCTCTCTCTCTCTCTCACTCTCTCATAGTCTGCTGAGCTGCATGCACTGAAAAGACTGGCAAGCACAACCCCAAAAACCACGTTATCAACTGCAACACCAACACAGGCTTTATCCAAACCAAAACCAAGATGAAAACAACAGACAGAGAGGAGAGAGAGAGAGAGAGAGAGAGAGAGCATTATCTTCATCCCAGTGGTTGCAGCAAAGCAAAGCAGACCTGAAATTTTGAGCAGAACACAGCTGGCACAGATGCTGATTTGATCAGCTCAGTCAATCAGTCTCAAACTTCAAAGCTTAACATCAATTAACCCCGACCCATCCTCTCATGTCCAGAAAGATAAGATAACAACCACTAACATCCCAACAACAACAACACAAAAATAAAGTAACTTTTGAACATCAACACACCCAATCCTATCTCTGTTTTGAACAGAAATCAAAACAGCAGTACTATATAGAGAGAGAAAGGTCATAGTCCCTCTCGTTCTCCAGGAGTTTATAAGTTTTTTTTAAAATAAAAAATAAAAAATAAAATAAAATATTTTTCTAGGAGTACTGTTTACAAGTTTTTTTTCCCTGAGTACTGTTTACAAGTTAAAGAGCAAAGGAATATAAAGTCATGGAGAAATATTATCCATATAAGCCCATTACTTTCATTGTTTGAGAGTTGAGAGTTTATAAAAGAAGATGAAAGAAACTGACAGTAGTTTATAAATTTTAGGTACAATAACAATTTTTTGAGATTTGCCAACAATGATACAATTTACTCTACTTTTTTTTTTTTTTTTTTTATAATGACACCTCCTTAAGTTTTATATAGTTACTAAAAACATTATAATGGTAATGAATTGACATTTTTGTCCTTTGACTTTTATATTGATCAATTTAAAATTTGAAATTACCTTTCTAACCTTTTTTTTTTGGTCCAATTGGTACTCACACACGTCTCTTCTGAGGCTTGAACCTCTAACCTCCTTTTAGAAAGTAAGAGACTGGTACCGCTAGACCACTAGCCCGTTGATACCTTTCTAACCTTAGTAACCCATTTCTTTCCTTCTCTCCTCTCCGATCTCTCTTCCTTCATCCTTCCACTATTTTTTTTATATAATACACACACACACACATACACACATATATATATATATATATATCCACCGTACCACCGACGCCACTGCCACTACCACTGCTACAACCGCGTGTCGCCACAATACCCACTACAACCACCACCGCACCCCAACTTTGCGGCAGAGCAATTATTGAAGTCACAAACTCTGACCAAGCCAAGATCGCCAAATCCGCCGCCTCCACAACAGTCACCAACTACCATCGCTCGACGCCATCAATTACAAGGGTAACATCTTATCTTCAACAAAAGTGGCGATATATACCATCACTCAACACGTTGAAGGTTCATATTGGGTCCCAAAACACACACACATGCACACACACACATATATGTATATATATCTTGCAAAAGATTCAGATCGGCGTCGATGGTGGCCGTGAATGTGGTTGAGGAGGGGGATAATGGCGGCGGTTGTGGTTGAGGAAATGGAGCAGTGGAGCTCCGTGTTGCGTCGTCCATAGAAGCCGACGAGATCTGAGCTTAAATCGGAGGGACTTGGACAGAACAATAAAGAGATCCAACGTGGCGGTGACGGTACTAACCGGTGTCGGTGAGGAATGATGGCGGTACTAATTGGCGTGGTGGTGATAGCGGCGTAATGGACGAATGGTGGTGGCTGCGCAGTAGATGAGTGTATAGAGAGGGGGGGTAAAGGGTAATTGAGAGAAAGATGCAAGGGTAATTTAGTCATTTAAGTATTTTGATATTTTATAATTGAAATTAATAAAATAGTGAAGGGTAAAGTAGACTTTTCACATGTTTTAAGGCTCTGTTTGGATGACAAATTTCACAAGAGAGTGTAGTTGTCTAAAAATAGACAAACTTGTATCTGCATGGCCTTACCCCTACCCCAAAGAGGTGTCTCTGTATTTTATCCTTTCAAAAGGACAAAGTACAGCAACAACCCCGAGGTTTGCTAAAAGGACACTCAGATACAAATTACCCTATTTTGGGATAATGACATCCCCTTATGAATTTTGCAAGCCAAACCAAGCCTTAAAACATTTGAAAACTCAATTTTACCATTCACTATTTTATTAATTTTAATTATAAAATATCAAAATAATTAAAAGACTAAATTACCCTTTTCATCTTTATATATATATATATATACACACACACACACACAACCACACAAGCATCGCCGCTGCCCATATTCCCCTCCACCGTCGTTGCCAATCTTCCCCTCCATCGCCCACCCATCTAAATCAACATCATCGATGGTTGTGCTACCGAAGAGGGCGTCGAAGGACTACCACACTAAGGTGGAAGGTCGTGATCGGAGAGTCCGCATGCCGGCGGCGTGTGCCGCCATAATCTTCCAATTAACTAGAGAACTCGGCCACAAGTCTGACGGCGAGACCATCCGGTGGCTCCTCGAGCACGCCGAGAGCGTCAAAGGACCGCCAAATTAAGGTGGAAGGCCGTGGCCGGAGAGTTCGTATGTCGGCTGCGTGTGCCGCCAGAATCTTCCAATTGACCAGAGAGCTCGGCCACAAGTCCGACAACGAGACTATCCGGTGGCTCCTCGAGCCCGCTGAGCCCGCTATCATCGAAGCCACTGGTACCGGGCAAGTTCTTCTCCACATAGTGGAGCTCTTCAGGCACGTAATCGCCAATCTTCTATTAGTTCGCCATCACCGGGTGGCCTTACCCCACTGTCGCAACCATCACCATAATCTCTCTCCTATCTTCTTCTTTTCTCTCCTCTTCACCTCATTTCTTCAATTATGGTCGCCCCTCTCTCAACACCCACCATCTCAGCCACAACCACCATCCATCTCATCTCCTTTCTTCCTCTCTCCTCTCCACCCACCATCACCACCTTAGATATATAAATATATACACACGATGGTGAACTGTAAATATACACACGGGCAGGTTCAGGTTCGGGTTAGGGTTTAATCCAATGGTATTTAAGTCAATTTTATTTCAAAGGGTAATAAAATGTCCATTTTTCAAACTTGAAAGGGATGTTATTGTTAAAAAATAAATAAACTTTCATTTATATGGCCTTAGCCCAATCCTCAAGCTGTCTCTGTACTTTACCTTTTAAAAATAAATAATTTTTATAAAATATTTCAAATGGATAATCATGACTTATAAATAGTGGGGGCTCTCCTAGAAAATTCCACACCCAATATTGGCAAACAAAGAATAACCCATTCCACCTCTTATGTTCCTCATCTTCCATATCACCCCCCCAAATTATGACAACTATGCATGTAATCTACCTATTAGTTTGATGTTAGATTAAATAAAATATTTAAAAGCAAATTATTTTTCTAAAAAGGGGAAATTAGATTTTAAATTTTAAATTTCCCCCTATCAAAATTTATGACACAATGGATAACCATGAGTTCTATTAATTTTCCCTCTCCTAGAAAATTCCACACAACAATGGCAAACAAAGAAAAAACATTCCACCCCCTTGTGTTTCATCTTCCATGCATCATATGTGCACATTGGAGTGTATATATACAAAAGTATACCATTTAGAACAACCATGCATGTACAATATATTATATATATATATATATATATGTATATATGTATACTTATTACATTTGATGTTAGACACCCACCAACAAGTGAAACAAACATGAAAGTTTTAACACACAGAGATTGAAGTGTGCCATAAGTAAATACTACACTGTTCTCCTTTTATGTTCCAAACTACATGAAATACTAAAAACTATGCCAACAACAATTAAACAAGATTCAAAAGAGCAAATAATTAACAAAATGAAAATTCAAAAATGTTCACAGTACAAAAACAAGCATATAGAGAGGAAACTAACAAGTCAACAACCCATATATCATCAGTATGGTGGCTGTGAAGCCGTGGGTGCCCATATCACATTCGAAGGCAAGTGACAACTATAAAGCGACATCCCACACGACTCCGCCGTCTGCGGCGGATGCCCACCACCACCACCGTCTCCACCTCCGGAAACCGCTGACGGCGACTGCCCTCTCTCATTCCCTCCAGAGCCCGAAGTACCCACTCCGTCATCCGACGGCAACCGGTGATACGACGGGCTATTGAACGACGCAGCCACCACATAGACTGTTCCGGCCGCCATAAGCGACCCCACCACCGACCCGCCGACGATCTGGCCCTGCGGACCAGCCAGCGATATCACGAACCCGCTTGGAACCACCGCAGACGTCGTCGTAGCCGGCAGAATCGTGGCGGAGAGGGAGAGAATATCGAACCGGCCGTGAAATGTGACCGTTGCTCCAGGAGTCGTGGAGGGTTGTCGGAGAGTGACATTCGCTACGGAGCCCGACCCGGTGAGAACACAGAGACCCATGTTGCGTTTCCGGCAGAATCGATACATACAGTCGACGATGTCGACCCCGCCGGCGAGCTCGAGAATGTAGGGGCTCATCGACGGCTCGGTATCGCGGGTTATGATGACGGGCGGTTTGGGTTTGTTCTTGGATCCGGGTGGTCGGCCTCGGGGGCGGCGCGAGACTTCGATGGAGGCGCCGTCGCCGCTGTTCGCCTGTTTTTTGTTGGCGGAGGACGGGGTGGCACCGCCGCTGTCGGCTTCCTCGGAGGTCTGACATTCACGGCCGACTTGGAAGTGATGGGTAGGGTGCAGAGGTGGTGGTTGTTGTTGCTGCTGCTGCTGCTGTTGGAACTTCTGGATCGGGTGGAGCTTCGCAAACATGTTGTTATTGTGATCCTTTTCTTCTACATATTCCCCTTTCATCTTCTCTCTCTAAATCTTATATATATATATGATTGGTTATATATATATATATTATAGTATATATATATATTATTATATATATATATATATCAAACAAGTTGAGAATTGGGAGAGGGAAAGGAGAGAGGACTAGAGAGTAAGGGAGTTATGGGTTAGAGTTGGATTTGTTTATATGAAATGAAATATGAGGATAGGGTGGTCTGATGGAGAGAGGATGAGAGAGAAAGGGGTAGGAAGGAGGTGGGTGAGCTTGGAAACCAAGTAAAGACTAATGGGCGCCGCTGGTTGGAGTTAAAGGTAGGCTCCACCGCTAGAGAGAGAAAGTGTGTGTTGTAGAGAGAGAGATGGAACAGTGCTTATACTTGGCTAGGAGTATTTGGTTAGCTAAACCTATCACCGCCTTTCTTTTCGTCAAGTTTGAAAGAAGGGAAGAGAGAGAAAGTGAGGAGAGAAATAGAGAGAGTCTTTTAGTAGCACCTTCCCGACCGAGTAGATTGACAATGACCCATTGATGTTCTTCTTTTGGGATATGGGAGATGTGCGGGATCTTTCTCTCTCTACCCTTACTTTCTCTCTCTATATCATCATACCAATTTTCTCTCTTCTATTCTACTGCTCTCTCTGTCCACGAGTCTACTATTTCTTATGGTCATGCCTAGGGCTTCCTGTAGTCTTGAATTTGTTCAAATTTTGAGGTCACTTCTTTTGACAATGGAAAATTTGTAAGAGCAAGTTGGGGATTCAATTATGACTTTCTAAGAGGGTGATGAACGGGTTCAAAGCGTCTAATCATTAAAGCTTACGCAATGCATGTTTTTTTCCTTGCGCATAGGTACAAGTCAAATTGGATGGCTGGTTTACTTTTCAAGTAATGACCTATAGAAATGTGACATCTCAACTCTCTTACTGTGAACTTGTGAGCATGTGATAACAAACTCCCATCTTCTTCCTTCCATGGTTGGGAGAGTATTCATTGTGGAGTATTTAATGAGTAAGAATATGGGTATAGATTAAGAATATGGGTATAAGTTCCCCTTCGCTCCCATTTAGGATTTATTATACTTAATTTTATTGTGTATTAAATAATGAATAATGTTTAGCTATTTACAGGTAAATAGTTTCACTTTACTCATTTTTTGTGTGCTCTAATAATAATTTACCACATCAATTTTAATAATAAAATAACTCACATCCTTTTATATTTTCCCGGATCAATCATTGAATAAAAGTGGATTATTTTTTTTTATTAAAGTTGATGTGGTAAATTATTATTGAAACACACAAAGAGTGAGTAGAGTGAAATTACTCACCAGTGAGTAGTTAAGTATTATCTTTAAATAATTTAGTTAATTATCTCTTAGTCCCTTCTATCATGTACTCCATTTGTTCTAAAAAAAATGTCTCTTTTGAAGAATATTTTATGAGTCACTATTTTCCAAAAGAAACATTTATTTTGGGACAAAGAAAGTATATAACAAAACGACCGTAAAGAATGACCAACATTGATGTGGCAAATTTTTAGCTTTATATGATAAATATGCCTTTTAAATTAGAGAAATTATTAGCAGGTCTAGGGACCACCATCTCATATGGTCCCGAGCATTGTTTTGTTTGTTTGTGTGTAAATTTCATAGGAGAATAGGTCTGTGTGTTATGGGGGCTGAACTGGGTGAGGGTGGAGGGGGGCGCACAGTGTTGCCGAGGCCATTGCACTTAAGATTCAACAAGTGGTCGTTGACGACCTGACGAATCACGAAGTTGTCGTCAGTGGCGAAGACGAAAGTCGTCACTAGGAGGAGAGAGAAAACGAAGAGGATGGAGAAGAGGAGACCGAAACAGTGTTGGGTCGAGGTCTGGAAGAAACGGTAGGTTAGTTTCTAGAGGGGGAAGCTGTTGCGCTCAAGCCGGGATGGACTCTTAATTCACACCAGCAACAAAAAGTGCTCCAACGGCTACGATGGTTTGAATTTGCACGCACAGAATGAGTCAAAAAATGAGATGCAATCGTCAACGAAGGGGTTGGCATCGGGAATGTGAATTGAGAGTAGGACTGCAACTCGAGCGGGCCCAGCCCGAGCCGAGCTGCCCAAGCCCAGCCCATACATAGTTTGTCCAGCTCGAGCCCACACTAAGTCCACCTTAGAAGAATTTGTGTATGAAAAATAAATCAATCTATGCTGCACCTATGACTTGAACATGAAACCTTAAACATAAATCCCAAACTCATTACTAACTTGGCTACTACACTCTTGTAACTTAAGCATAGTTATAAATATATATAATATTTTCGGACTCGAGTTGGGCTTCGGGCTTCATCCACATCAACCCAAACCCAAATCGAATTGAATTCGAGTTCAAAATATATAGCCTAGGCCCAAATCGAAATTAGAAAATATTGTCCAAGCCCACAAAATTTCGGGTTAGACTCGAGTTATTTCGGGTTGGGCCCACCTGAGTTGCAGCCCTAATTGAGAGTTTGTCGGAGAATCCATGGCCCTATAATCAATCTTGCAAAGGGCGAAGCGTGATTTAGCGATGTGTACAGTAGTGACTTGTAATTTTTAGTCAATGCTGACTTGTAATTTTATTAATGTAGTTTTCTATAATTGGCCAGGATCATATATGAGGTGGTGGTTTTGGGACTGCCTAATCATTTCTCCTTTAAATTGTTGGTGAAATCACTTTTGTCCACTTGTTATACAAAGAGATAAGCATACCCCTAACTAAAGAAAATTAAATTGATGAAAAATATCATGAGTTGGGGGGTATAATTGTCTTTTTGCACAATAAGCGTTGGAAAAAAGTGTTTTACAACAATTTGAAATGAATATTTGACACGTGAAGTTAAAAAAAATTGTCACACCAACGTTAACCTTCTCTAATAAAACTACCAGCAGGGGTTGGTTTGTTATACATATTAGGGGTGGGCAAATAATTCGTGAATCCGATCCAGTCCGGTCTGATCCGTGCAGATCGAATCAGATTGTTACACTCACAAATTGATGGCGGATTCAAAAAAATTGAATCCGTAACTCACGGATTGGATCACGGATTGGGCTGTTAAAAATCCAATCCGATCTGTGAGTTCGATCCAATCCGTGAAATTTATATATATTTTCAAATAATATATTAGTTAATGATAGTTTAATGGATTTTAAGAATGTATTAGTCAATAATTATTTAAATATATGAATTAATATAAATAAATTAAAATTTTATCTATTGGGCTATGGTTAAAAAACACATAAATAATAAATAATAAATAATATTAACTATAAAAAATAAAAAATAATATTAATGGATAATTTAGATAAAATTCCATCCGCGAATTCACTCCGATCCGATACGATCCGTGGGATAAAGATCGGTGGCGGATTAAAATTTGCCTAATCCATTGGGAGCGAATCGCATTAAAATTAATGCCTAGTCCGATCCAATCCATAGCCACCCCTAATACATATGTAACTAGAACTGAAGTAAATGTAATTATATTTACTGAAAAAAAGTAATTGTAATTATTCAAAATACGGGGGAGGTAAATGTAATAAGTCCTACTAGAAAGAAGGTAAGTGAAATTTATCCTTTTTTTAAATAGTAATATTGGGACCTAGTGGCTTACCTAAATTATCCTCACTTAAAATGGAATTTATTTTATGCATAATTTTGTATAATAATGGTATAATGGACTGTATCTTTCTTTGATTGTCCTATAAGTTTATTTATTTAAGTTCTTCTTTTACTTATATTTCTTACAAAATTTATTTGATACAAATTTACTTATAATACCTATTTAATAAAAATGATGACAATTTAGATAAATTATAATATTTAATTTCTTATAACTTTCATGCTATCATTGCTATCCAAACCATCAATTTGTACTTTTCCACAACTTTGTCAACAACAAAAAAACTCATGTTAATCAAATAAAAGAAATGATTTTTCTTTCGTTTACTTCATTTTCTTTGACTTTAAATTTTTCACTATTAATTTGTATTTTATCAAGCAACCCTAAAAATTGAATAATCGGCTCATTGACTCGTCTCAACTAAATGTTATTGAATATTTTCAAACTCCACTTTAAACATTTATTTACACTCTCCTTTTATTTCTTTCATTTAAAAATAAAATAAAAAACACACACACACACATTAAAAAAAAATTAAATAAATAAATAAAAAATTACTTTATAAACCTTATCACACTTACCTTATACTTAAGCTCAACTTTATCATTCCATTATTAAAATATATAAATATAAATAAATAAATAAATAAATATATATATATATATATATATATATATATATATTAAGGGAAACCGTAAAAAATGGTATGAATATCACTGCAAGCATAAGAGAAAAAGTTTTTTAGAATTTTTTTTTTTTTTTTTTTTTTGGTTTCCTTAGTTGGTACTCACACATGCCTTCATGGAGGCTCGAATCTCTGACCTTCCTTTAGAAAGTAGGAGTCTGATACTACTAGGGCACTTGCGTATTGATTTTAATAAAAAAAATACTATGAATATCACCTGCATGCATAAGAGAATTTTTTTTTTTTTTTTTTTTTTTTTTTTCTTAATTGGTACTCACACACAGGCTCGAACCCCTACTTCTCTTTAAAAAGTAGGGGTCTGGTACCGCTAAGCACTTGCCTGTTGATTTTAGAAAAAAAAAATTAAAAGGTTAGAACCCAAAATTGTGATTGCGAAACAATCTGAAATATTTTTAATCAAAATTTAAGGTATTTTTCATGTTCTTTGCATTAGGTATAAATAGAATAAGAAACGGGATCATTAAGAAACCTAAAAAGCTCAAGGAAACTAATTCCTAAATAAAACTAAAAATACAAAGAAACAAAACAAAAAATAACCAAAATTACATAGAAATTAAATTTTCTCAAAAAAAAAAAAAAAAAAAAGAAACAAATAAGAAATCTAATTACTAAATACTAGTAGTAAAAATTATTGAATATAAAATTTGAGATCAATCTGACTCTAGGCCTCAAATAAAAATTCTAAAATAATGAACAAATCTCATTTTAGAAAAGAAACGCAATTTCGGAGTCCTAAACAAGGTTTTCAGCCGAAACACGACATGGCTTACAAGCTAAAGGTAGTGAGTTTTTCTCAATTGGTCGTTTTTACCCCCAAAAAAATTCCTTTCCGGTTAAAAGCGGAGTTGTCGAACTGTTCAAAATTATGTCATGCATCAAGGT